GGTGCACAGCAGGGTCACTGTGTAGAATTACAAACAAATCCCTGGTGTGCACCAATTTCCCCACTTCGGTTGATAACTCAAACCTCCCTATAAGTCAAATACCTTCCCAAGTTAAATTTGTGAAGTCCATTGGAGTCCCCCCATAGAACCAAGACATTATAAACCTCCTGAACAGGAATGCTTTTTCTTTCAAACCTCAGTGGAAGTTGAATTTTCTGGAGTCCTTCTGGCTATATTATTATTATTTATTACACAGGAAAGTTATCAGCAATAAAAATGAAACTTCATGTGTTTTGAAACAAAATGAAAGACTAAATGGGTAATTGAACCACTGCCTCCAAGTTCAGTATCCCTTTCAACTCATTTATGAATAAATTTGAGGCATACAATACAATGAGTTACAATTTCCTTGAATTTATATCTCCCCTTTCCCAAACAAATAAGCTTGTTTTCTCTAACTGGAAACCTCCACAGGTATTTTCCAGCTTTTGTGCTGCTCCCTGGAAATCTGACTTGAAGACTGCAATTTTCCCAAAAACAAATCCATCATGAAAAATGTGTTTTAACCCTTGGGCGGCAAAGTTGGACTATTTTTGCAAAATTTTGTTACACCTCAGGGCAAAAATAAAAAAGGGCAACAGGGATTTGAGGACATAGTTGGGGAAAAATCTGATGTTTTTTTCTTTTTTCACAGAAAAATGTTGTGGGAAAATGAAAAAAAATCCTATGCTAAGCAATGGGCTTTTCTGGGATTAATCCTGACTTTGCCTCAGCCCACCTGTAAGGTCTTTTCTGACCTTCAGAAAACTTAAAACGCCACAGCATACAAAAATAATCTGATTTTGGCTGGTGATGGGAAAGAACCCTCCGCCGTCCAAGGGTTAAACAGGATACCCAGTTTCTTTATACTGTACATATGCTACCTTTTCAAGACATATCAATATGCATTGATTCCTTTTCGTCGCCTGATTCCATATGACCATCAAACCAATTTTTATATAATTTTTTTGATTAATCAACGTGTTTCCATTTTTGTGTCATGAAAAGGAACAGTTCCCGTGTTTGAAGCGACTGGGTTTGAACACCCCGCTGCCGATTGGAGAACACGAATCGTCTTACATATTCTTGCCGCCGGCTGTGATTGCGTTTATTTTGTCAAGGGCGCCTCTTTTGGAATGCGCCGACTTTGGCTACTGCTCCGCCATTTACGACACCGACGTGGACCGGATGTTGCAGGACGCCGGGGCGTCCCGGGTGCAGCGGCTCACACTTCGGGGCGCCTACAGGTTCTTCCTCTTTCATTTGTTTCATATCTTCTTCACGTGTCTTAGCCTCATGGTTTTTGGTTTATTTGAAAAATGGAAAAAAATGTTAAAAATCCAAAATAAATCCGGAAATTATTTTTTTTTGATAAGTGGAAAAAGGTTAAATATCCAGAATCTATCCGGACATGATTTTTTTTGAAAAGTGGAAAAAGGTTAAAAATCCAGAATAAATCCGGACATGGTTTTTTTTTAAGTGGAAAAAGGTTAAAAATCCAGAATAAATCCGGACATGATGTTTTTTGAAATGTGGAAAAAGGTTAAAAATCTAGATAAATCTGGACATGATTTTTTTAAAGTGGAAAAAAGTTAAAATCCAGAATCTATCTGGACAGCTCGAAATTCTCAGAATTTGTGAAATTCAACTTCATAAACCTACATTTTCATACAAATACAGTACACAATGGCTGAATAATACGCGACTTCTCATTGAACATATCCATATGCCAAGATTTTTTTTGAGAGCCTATAGAAGAGATTACAGTATATTTTGTACAATAATAACGTTAGTGAAATCTGTGCTGCACACTGCAATTTTTGCAGAAACGATTTATTCTTTTTGACTTCTTAACAAAATTACTGAACATGTACGAGGGTTCTAACAAAATTTCTCAACAGCCACCAATGTGGCGGCTTTGAAATTCCCTTGGCAGACCAGGATGCAACCCTTGGAATTAATGCCATGTTGATTTCAAAAATTCTGAGGGGAAAGCTGGGCTACAACAACAAAAAATCTGCAGGAAAAGCGCCTCATGTTTTGACTGAAGAGAAAAACTCTGCCAGGGTGAATTTTGCAAAACATTCAAAAAAATTGTTGAACAGGGCTGAATGTTTTGTGTGCCAAAGAATATGTTTTCCCTGAAGAATTTGTTTCCAGCTTGATTATACGCCATGTTTATTTATATTCCAAGCACTTTTGTTAGAACCCTTGTACATGATAATTCTGCTAGAAATTGCTGAGAGAAAAGTGGAAAGCCTCCAGCTTTTATTGAGGCAAAGATCCGAGATTGCGAATCACATGTGTTGAGCCGGAAGTCAACAAAGTAGGTGGAAAGAATTCAGAACACAGTAATCAGCCTTTATGAGGCCGGATCCTCCAGAGGGGAGTCCCAAGAATACTCAATTTAATAATTGCACAGACACACAAGTCAGGCAAGTAGCAAACAGTATAATCCTAACACACAAGACTTTCAATCAATGACAATCAGTCACACAGGTAAACAATTTAGCCACAAAACAGAAGAACACACTAGAAGTTCCTCAGGGAGGTCCTATCTCAAGCAGGCAAAGTTTGCAAGTGTCTATCTCCAGGCCTTGCTGTCTTTGCCTCAGAGATGGCCGGAAATGGCAGAGATTAGTGGAAACCAGTTTAGGAAGGTAGCAGGCACTTCCATCCTGCCAATCCGTGCCAGGTACAAAGTTTTCTTTCCTCCGCAAAGATGCTTCGATGGACAACATGTCATAAATTTAGAAAAACATGCAGACACAGGAAACACATACAGTACTAATGAGAAATGTGTTTTTGAATGAAGTCGAAAGACTTTGAATGTACAGTGCGTATATTATTTCTTGTTTGTTTTTTCGCTTCCTTATATAGGTTGAGCAACGAAGCAGTCATGAAGTTGATCCAAGGGTTTCCTGAACTCAAAATGATGGCTATGAAGATTTTACCCAGGGACCGACTGGTGGAAATGGAAAAGCTCAAGACTTGTCTCAAAGAGCAAAACGCTGACGTGACACTCTTGACTTACGGCAATTACTGAAGTACTGTATAAAATTATTTGATCACCAGGATCGATTTATTTGTACTGTATTATGATTCGACCAAAACTTTCATGCGTTCTTTTGATAAAAAAGAAAATGATGTGCCATTGTAGTACAATATTCTTTTCTTCGTACATGGCGCGGCGGTCAAGCGCATGTCCTGGAAGAAAAATATGTTTTTGAAGAATTATCCATTGATTTACTTCTTTCGATTACATTAGTTTATCTCGGATGATGACTGTCAAAGGGTCGAACGCTTTTCTGGAACATTTTTTGTGCAGATGGACTCCAGTGCGCCGAGATTTCAGGGAATTCTGACCACCCACAAAGCAATTAAACCTATCCAAAATTTGGCTGATTCCAGATTATAAATACTCAAATTAAAATATTTCCTGCATGCTTGGGGAAGACGAAAAACCCCCTATTTTGAATGATACAGAATATTAATTTTTTTGGCCTAAGAAACCCTCTGTGAAGTCAACATTTTTAATTTTTTGAAAACATTCCAGTATATATCTGCTTCATTGGTGCTTAACTTAATTTTTGCAGAAGAGCATGAACTTTCTAAATACCTGCCATACACTCTTTCAAGCAACACTATTTTGAATCTGCAAAAGATCTTTGAAACATTGCCAGTCAGCAGCAGCATTTTTTTTAATTTGCTGGTCTGCAAAAATTCTTATGGAAATGTGTGGGTCCAAAGTCCCAAAAAGGTTAGGGAAGATTGTCTTAGACTATACTTGAAGTACATTCAGATTTGACTTGAATCATGAAACAACTTGATGCAAAAGATAATTTCAAATATTCTTTTAATCTAAATACAGTAATATATCAGCTTGTCAGCTTTTAAAATAGCACATGCTGTATACAGTTTAGGCTAATTGCTCAGGCTATTGAGTTTCTCAGGTTAGTCTCCAAAGGAAAAAACATGGGTTTCAATTTTTTTTTATCAAATTCCCAAAAAGGCACATAAGCATAAGAGTGCTGCAGGGCATCTCATCAATAACTCTTGACTTGACCCATTTACAACCTGTTAACCCTTGCAGTGCTGGGATTGACCCACAAAATTGTGTGCCAGGAGGAGTACAAAATTAGAAAAAAAATGATTAGAGGAGCCAAAGTTTGGAAAAATCCCAAATGTTTTTAGCATTCCTATACAGAAAAATTTTGTCAAAAAAGAAAAATGTTACTGTTATGTGGCATTTTTCTGCAATCCTGCCATATAGGATTAGCATTAAGGGATTTTCAAAACCATGGCTTTCCCTTTCCCAGATTTTTCCCGACTTTGGCTATACTCAGCCAAAGCTGTATTTTGGTGACCTTGGTCAAAGCAAAATGCACAAGTGTACACAAAAAAAAATCTTGACACTGCCATGCAATGGAAAAGTACCCACTGGCACCCAAGGGTTAAATATGGCTGGCTACTTCTGTATCTGTACATGTTTCTGGAAATAGTTTTGTTTATTTTCTGCACCAATTTTTAAATGGTTTTGATGGAAATGATACCCATAGCTCCAAAAACATGACAATATTTTTCATCTTGATTGTTGTCACAATAAGTAATTAAAGGAGGAAACATTGCTTCACATTATTCCACACTGATTCAGCATCCATTTCTTCAAAAGACAAAGAAAATAGATCGTCTATAGCTCTATACTTTTTAAATACAATATTTTAATTCAATTGAAAACCTCCCCTTGCGCCTATAATCATCTCAAGTGCTGTTGTTGGAAAGGTTGACACTGTCATTCGTTTGTGGCCAATATACTCATCAAACCTTTTATACTCCTTCCTGCATTCAAAAACAATCAAATAAAATAAATTAAGCACTGAGTACGAATTGACGTTTATCGGATCGCCTGGGTCGATGGGAGAATATGTTCGGAGAGCTTGGGGCAGACGAAAAATTAAGCTCAATTATGAGAATAATACAAGTGCCTATATATTGTATGACATTTTTAGTTATACTTTTTTCAAATGATCAAGCATTACTCACGAGGAGGGACATGAAAATGCCTCCAGGGAATTTAAAATTGCTTCTCGTGGGCGAAGGAATGAATATTTTGTTTGCAAGCAATTTTCTGAGAAGTCCCTTCGTGTATATGAAATCGAGTCATCGAACAATCAAGTCCAGTACAATTATTTACGTTCGACAATGCATCACTACCGTATTTATTTTTACAATTTGGTAAATATGACAACCGTGTTCAATTTCATAATAGCTTTTCAGTTGCGACAAGGTGACCATCAATTGACCTGATATAAAAGCGTTTTCGATGATGCCCGTAAAAAGCGACAAGTTTTTCTGTAGTGCTCTCAAGAAAATGAACCTCGGCGCAAGAACGTCGTTAACTGTGCTTATTTTGATTTCCGAGCAATTCAATCTGAGTTCATTCGTGTTTGGTGAGTTATCCGAGAAGTTTTCGTTGCCTTCGAGATTATCTTGCACAAGTAAAAAAAAAATGCTTCATTTATTCATCAGGGTTTCCGAAGTTGAGAAATACAGCCGATCGCAGAAGGTTCGAGAAATTCACGCACGCTCTCAAACCTGATCTCGTCATTTCTTCTGATTCCTGTACTTTAAGTCCAAGAAGTTTAGCTTAGTCTAAGTGGTAACGTAAAATAAAATTCAGCGTTTCTTCATTTCGGATGCGTGCAGATTTCGAAAAACCTATACTTTTCTTGGAATGCGAGCAAGACGTTTTGCTTTCTGCCTTGATGGACACAAGCTGGGGATTCCAGCAGAAACTGACAATATTCGTTTGCTGTTCGTCCAGGGAAACGCTTAAACTTTTTCAGAAGGTAATTTTTCATCCCATACACCATATATTTTTTTTAAAAATTGAATACATGCGGACACCTTGACATGTGGAGAATTTGACATATGTACACTTATTTTCCTATGAAAAATTAATACAAAAGGCCCAACATGAGGACACTGAGTCAATATAGGGACATTTTGTGATAAACTTGCAAATATTCCAGCCAAATCACAAGAAACATTTATTTCCAACCCTAAAATTGATGCGAGAAAAGTTCTTGGGCATTTCTCTCACCAACGTATCATCCATGTAGCTAATTTAAAAAATTACCTCATGCATAGACGAGGGACTTCCTTCTATCTTTTTCACTTGAATATTATTTTTTTTTACAGAGAATGCCAACATTTCTATGTACTGTACAGAGGTAACAGTATATTCAATTTCCCAAATGTCCATATTGCGTTGAAATATATTGATTAAACCAGTTTAAATTGGGAGAAAATTTTTATTTTCATAAAATTATGATATTTTGTTAATAAAACATCAATTAAAAATTAGATAATGTAAGTCAAAGGGAAAATGAGACTCAACTCTGTGACATTTTTACTTAGGGACACTCTTGATGCACCAATTATGTCGTCCACATCTTTGGGTCTCACTGTATAACTGCTGGGATCTCTAAAGCTTTCAAATATTTGATTTTAAAGCATATCCGTCGATTTTTACGATGCAATTTCTGATAAAAGGATGGGAATTTATGTGCATCTATACTACGCTTATTACGTCACTTTATATTTTGATTTCGTTGTTCTTTAACTGAAAGATCACGGAACAGAATTTATCAAAATGGAGTCACAATTGGTTTGTCCACACAAACAACGACTCAAACTCAATTTTGAAAGATTTAAAATTTCTCAAACTGCTGGACGAAACCTGGAATGTGAATGTCATCTCGTGTCCAGCAGCAACACGGAAAAATTCCACAATGCTCGAATATTTTCCGTCAAACGACCCCAAAGCTGAAGAAGAAACGGGATTGCGTTCCTTCTGTTCCATTTTTCAACTCGCAAGACATTATAAACCCAGCGTCAGATATCCGAAAACAGTTTTCAAGCAATTGTCTAGATTTGATCCGGTTCAATTGAAGTCAGTTGAAATCATGCTAGACGAAATAACAGACACGAAATACCGGAACAAATGGGAGCGTGGGAGAACATTAATTGCTGGGGTCATCAGAAACGTTCCTTGGATTGATTTCGCGTATGACAAAGAAGCCAAAACGCTGAAATTGGCCAAAGGAATCGATGCTGAGCTCCTCAGAATGTTGGCCAATAAGCTCAACTTCACGTGAGTATTTTCTCAATTCTTTGCAAAAGTCGGACGGGCAATTCGCATTACAGTACAGTACTTATTTTAAAGCTTCTTTTGTCGCCTGATTTTCTTTCGAAACCATGACGTCAAACCACAATTTCAATATTCTAGGTTTAGACGCTGAAGACAATTTCTCGAAATAAGCAGCAAAATATTTGTCAACAGCAAGGTCATTCTTGAATCGGATTAATTTCTGCACATCGTCAGTCTTCACGAAGACTGTAGCTCAAAAATGCCATCAAGTTTAGTGAAGAATGAGCAGTTATAAGGTTTGATTTTATTATTATACGAAGCAAATTCAGCGCAGAAAAAATTGAAGTCATACCGATATCAAATCCCCAATTTACCAATAATTGAAGTGTTGGGTAAATTGCGCTGAACAGCGACTGAAATAATTGCCAGAAAGTTATTTGGACTTATTGATGGTTAAAGATGTCAAGGTCCCTTTTTTTTCTTCCTCTGAATCCTGGTGGTACATGTAAAGAACCTATAGTTTAGATGAATTATTTAATGTAGGAGGGGTGAAGAATGTAACACATCATCAATTAAGTGAGCATGATTCAAGCAGAGCCAAACAATTGATTAGACTAGCAGTGTTCCCCAACCTTTTTGTGCCTGCAGACCAGCAAATTTCTATAAAAAATTTTTGCAGACTGGCAAATTCCCAAAAAATTGTCTGTGGACTGGCAAAGTTTCATAAAATTTTCACAGACTGGAAAACATTTTGCTTGATAGAATTAATGGCAGGTACTGTATATAAAAGTTTATGCTTCTTGAAAAAATTAAGCTATAAGCACCTATGAAAAAGCTATAGCTGTGAACGTTGACAAAAACTTAAAAAGGTGAAAATGAAAATAATGTGTTTCAGCAGGTAAAAAATGTGTCTGATCTGAAGTATTTTTATATTAGGATAAAAGCCAACTTTCAAGTTTCATCAAATGCTTTCAATGGCCTGTCTTTCCAAAGTTTTATA